GTCCAGAACCCAGCAACTGATCTGCCTCGCCCGGGAAGAGCGCAATGATGGTGCCAACTTGGGTCAGTAAAGCAACGTCCTCTACAACTAGACTGAAGAACAAAACGACAGCAACTTGTCTGTTCCCCTCCCCCAATTCCCCAATTAAAAAAAAAAAAGAAAAAGAAAAGCTTTATCTTAATTTGCATTTAGCATTTTTTGTCTATTTTTTTCTGTTAATTGCATATTCATGTCCTATACAGTTTTCTAGTTCCCTTAAGGCTTTCTTCTACTGCTTTCATGATTAAAAACATTCTCATATCCTGAGATCAACTAGTTATTAGTCTGTATTTTGCCTTTACTTTTATAGTTTTATGTTTTACATCTGCTGGAGTTCAGGACATGCTACCCCAAAATATGGCACCTTGGCATATAAAATATTTCAAGCTGAAGGAATCTGAGAAACAGCAGGCACAGGAAGAATTTTCTGAACTTCCCCTGAAGCAGTCATAAGACCCTCACATGAGAGGTGCCTTTCCTATACTCAGGAAAAGGAGCATCCTTATTTTGGAAGACAGAGCGATGCTGAAAGGAATATGAATAAACAGGACTTGCCGTTCCCCCCAGTTTGCTACACTTAGCTCAAACCCTTTTTTGCCCTATCACATTTTTCCATGATTCTCCACTCTTCATCAAACCTAGCATTAAAACACTCAAGTTTAAATACTTCTTTGGTCTTCATTTCCTTACGAAGGCTCTTGTGTCATTTAAGCTTATATTAAATAAATTTGTATGTTTTTCTTTTGTTAATCTGTCTTTTGTTACAAAGGCCCCAGCAGAGAACTTGGAAGTGTAGAGGGAAAAGATATTTTTCTTCCCTCATAGTTTCAATAAAAATATTCATCTAGAAATTGCTTTGGGGGGCCGGCCTAGTGGCGCGTTGGTTAGGAGTTGGCTTGGGATGCCAGCTCTGAGCAGCAGGGCCCCAGTTTGGATCCCAAGAGGGCCAGTGACATTGCGCCCTCTACAGCTAAGATGGTGAACAACAGCTCGAACTGGAACTGGACTGCCATGAGTCGCCAGCAACGGCATAGACTGCAGTGGGGCTGGCCGGCAGCTGGAGTGAGCTTTTGTGAGCTGCCTTGAGCCATCATGAGCGGCCGTCCAATGGACGGCAAGCAACTGCCTCACCCAGGAAGAGCGCAGTGATAATACCAACTTGTGTCAGTAAAGCGACATCCTCCACAACTGGACTGAAGAATAAAAGGACAGGAACTTGTATGTTTCACTTTTCAGATTCCCCAATGCTGTTCCCCTCCCTCAATTCCCCAATAAAATCTCAAAAAAAAAAAAAAAGAAAATTGCTTTGGGTATGGTTGGAGTGAAAGACCTATTTTCTGCCAAACAAGAAACCAATAGTTAAAATGGAGACAGGCTGCTAGTTTAAGACAGAAATGATTTATAATGGCTTTAGGAATTAGTCTACTATTTCTAGTTCATTCAGGCATTTTTTAAAAATTGGGAATAGTTACTAAGTATCTATACCTGTAAGATGTTTAAGATTTAAATGAATATGATTTTCTTTAATAAAAATGAGGCAATCTATATCATAAGCATAAAGAAAAATTCTCAAATGAGAATATATTAAAATTTCTACTTGTTATTTAAACTCATGCTTGCTCCTTTAATTTCTCACAAACTATAAGCACAAAGCTCCAACGTACCTCTTGAATGGCTGTCATGACAACATGTTGAACAGATTCTTCCATCATCATAATGGCTTGGATGTACTCTGAAAACAAGAACAATCTGGAATGTCACTGTTCAAGTTAAAGATAGCCAAGGGAGTACAGGCTAATACTTCATGAATTCTTATATGTAGTTTCCAGTGTTTTGATTCTTCCTAGGCATTTCATATACGAATAAACATATGTGTCATAGGTAAAGACTGAAAATCACAGTATTTATCTTTAATATATCACCCACACCCACCTCAAACCATTCCTTATAAAGTTGTGGCTACAGCTAAAGGTCACAGGAAAGCAGACTCTCAGGAATGTAAATGGAAAGAAATGGTAAAGCCTAAAGAAAAGGTAAAACATTTTCCAGGGTGGAAAAGACTCCATACAAACATTACCATTCTTAAAATCTAAAAATCAAGCGTACTGTCACATCATTCTTTGCTACATGTTAAAAAACTTTAAAGTTTGTGCTTTACTCTCATGTGACATCAAAGCACTGAATTGTGTGTGATGCCAATCTTAATATTTTCTACTATAAGAAAGAAAAATCTTAGAAACTGATACCATAGTTAAATAAATACTGGATAACCCTGGGCTTTAAAATAATGACCCACATCTCTAATGAGCTCAAGTACCAACTTCATCAATCTGATCTTCACCACTGTCAAAAAAAAGAAGGATCTCTTAGCTGTCAGTATTGACAAAGTTGAAAAAAATAATTCTTGCCTTCTGAAATAGCCCTGGAAGTAGTTTTCATTATTTTCAAATCCAACAATGGATGATGAAAGTGGCATTAAGCATAAAACAATCAATAGACCAGCTGGATTCCAACAAATATGGTAAATGTTTTAATAAGAAACATTGAAAAGGGTAAAATAATTAGGAAATTTTATCCTCAACCTGACATACATCCAAAAAACAAACACCAAGAACTTGTCTCAGAACTCCAAGTATTATATGAAGGAGTCCTACTGTGAAACTGTTAAAGTGACCTTTTGGCAAGAGACTCATGTCTGCAGCGCCAAGCTGTAATCCTTTGCTTGGCAGGTATTATAACATGTTAAAAAAAAAAAAAGGAAGTATTTTGACAGCACTATTAAATTCTGACATTCTGACATTCTGGTTGTGAACACCAAGGCCTTTGGTTAATCAAAACATTTTTTAAAGGAAATACTGTTGTAAAGATATTTTATACCCAATCAAATATGCAGTTAAACATGTAAATATACACAACACACTTAAGTCAAAGGTATTGTTTTTAGATCAATAGTAGGAGTATATTGTAACTTAACCACTATTTAGTTTTAAAAAACCAAGACCTTTAGTCTAAGCTCAATTTTTTGTTTTGTTTGTTAATGAGGAGCACCCTATGAGTGTTGGAATGCAAGGGAGTGCTTTTAGATATTCTGTTCAAAGGTACCAAACACAGAAATCCAAGGCTATGGAGAAAATGGCATAGCTAGAATGACTAAACAGCCCTCAAAATAAAGACTGTGAACATGAAGAGAAGCAGTGGCATTGATAATGGGGAAGGAAAACTTCATGACAGCCTACTGGAAGTGAAGAAAATAACAGTGGGAATAAGGAGGTTAGGAAATTATTAGTAAGGTGTGAGAGGGGAAGCGTTAGTTAAGAAGCGGTGTTGCCACGTCAAGGCCCTTCCCCGCGAACACCGTAAAATGCCAAATGATAAAATGATGATGAGAACTACATTAATGTACCATTTTTAAAAAATATAAAAATAATTTATAAATCTTAGAAGTCCAAATACAAGTACATATGATTATTAAGTGCAGCTCTATGAGGCAATGCTAGAGAATGAGGTATGCCATGTCAAGGAGTTTATCCTGAAAACTTAGCTTTTAGGTTGAAAATTTACAGCAGTTTTGTATAAAGAGTTTCAAATTTAAATGTGGAAGAGAGAAGGGTTTTCGTCCTTGCCTAGCCTTTTACAAGCAAGAAATCTTGGGCAATTCATATATCTGTAAAAAGCATTTTTGTTCTGGCAGTGCCTAGTAGAGTACCAGGCAGAAAAGACACTTAAGTAAACAATAAAGTAAGGAACACAGACAATTTCATTTACTCCTCCTAACTATTTTGCATCTTCATTTTGTAGATGACAAAACAGGCTGAGTATCTTGTCCAATGTCGGTCAGGCACTGTTTAGCAGTGCCACTTTAGTAAGCCTTACATAGCATAAATATGCGATGATGGGTAATGCTTAACAATTCAGAAATTCATTTAATTTCATTCTTAGCTCTCAACTGTGTTCCTGAGAGCAGAGAATGCCCTCTGGATAAGGAGATGCTAAAATCCTGTTTTAAAGTTTTCATCATTTATATACAATTTCAGGGGAAAAACTGAATTTAGGTTTTATACAGAACACTTGGTCTGTATGAGACGTTCTATAAATATTGTGATTGTCTTCTTCTCCATAGGAATATGGATATAGGTAACATTCTTTTGGTTTCCTACTCCTACCCTCTAATAAATATGATTAGCCAAATCTTAACAGCTATATACTTCCAAGGATCCTTATGTACTAAGGATAATCCCAAGAGGTGATGAATCTCCTAACAGAATAAATACATAAGAAGCCATTATCTGAATTCAATGAACTACATTAAATAATTTTTCATCCACCTTTTAAAATCAAAGCATCTAGTTAGCAATTTAATGTGTCTTGAATCTTATTTATACCAATCTTAAAATATTTGACAACAAACTTGTTAGACATTTCAGTAATATACAAAAATCACAAATGTAGAAAATTCTCTATTTTAATCCTTGAGTTAAACGGAATAAACAAGCTAAAAACTGTAAGAGTATGGTGTGTTAAAATCTACAAGGAATGGGGCTAGAGAGATAAATATATTGATAGAAAAAATTCCTGAATCAGAGACCAATAAAACTAGTCATAGCTTTAAGAAAAAACAATGTTGACTTATTAAACTTGGAACACCAAAAAAGTACAGACAGCAAGTTAATAAAAATCTGTCTGTATTACCAAAGGTAGGACAGGAGAAAGAAGAAAAATACTTCTGGGCAGAAAAAAAGTCCATCTTCCTCAAAGGTCATGTAAATAACAGCAAGATACTTTGTTGTCATCATTTAGCACAGTCCCTGTCTACCTTTCTCCTGTTTCATCTCCCTTTATCCTCCTCACTATTCTCCAATTAAGTTTTCTAATCCTTCAAAAGTAACCTAGGTCTTTCTGACATTCAGTTTGTAGTACTCAGCTTACTCTTAACCCATTATTCTCCATATCTTTGCGTAAATAACTTCCCTAACCCAAACCTAGACTGTCCCCTATTACCCTTCACCTTCACAGCACTCCCACCGCTACTCAGATTAGATAGTTCTGTGTAGCATTATTTATTGCCATCCCCTCCACTCAACTACAAGTTCCACAAGGGCAGGTACCATACCTGTTTTGTCTGACACTGTGTTCCTAGCCCGAGCATAACACATGAGTTCAGTAAATCCTCTGTACTTGTAATCTAAAATATCCAATTTTAAGTTCCCAGAGCTGATTCAATCCAGTATATTAATTATTATTTAATTTAGCTGGACTTTGTCCAATTAACAATTTTATCACATTCAGTCTAGTTAAAAATAATCTACTCAAAGAATTATGTAGTCTTGCAGAAAGGGAAAGAGTGTCATCACAATCAAATTTATTCCAACTTGCAAAACTTTTAAAGCTTGACAATAAATTAGTAGCAAAATGGGAGAAAACGATCTCTGGGGGTGGCCTTAAAAAGATGTTATTGTTTGTACTGGCGATTTAGAAATAAAATATACAATATATGTTACTTTTATATATATTATAAATTATTAAATATTTATAAACAAAATACAAATTTATACGTTATTAAATATATTTTATATATATTACTTATCTTACTATTTTAAATGCATACACTAACTTCAAATAAATTACCTTGCTTCTGTTCACAGTTCACAGCACAGCCTAAAATGAGCTGAAGCATCCTTCCCAGTTCGGCAGCATCAGAATGCTCCCCAATAAGGTTCACATCAGGAAGGGTAAAATCATTAATTTGCTGTCCTAAAATCTGAACGGGGATAAAAGGATTAGAACTGCATTTATATTTATATGACCAAATAAAGCATCTGACTGATACTAGATTGTCAGTTAACAGAAATTCACTGTTAAGGAAAGAGCTGTCATGTCAGTCTCACTCCCAATTTCTATTTTTGTACACTGAGCAAAGAAACTAGGTACTATTGATCCCTCCACCATCCCCAGAAAGACTGGATATGTACTCTCTGAAGTCGAGCCAGAGAGGTTCTGAACCAGGGGTCACCAGAAAGAGCAGAGATTAAATATAGGGTCATGCCCCCAATAGTAAGATTGCTCCTAGCCACCTTCACTCCATTTGACTCCAAAATACTGACAGCAAGATACCTGTATCAGGAAGGAGAATGGAAGATTCTTTTATGAGGAAGCTGAGTGGCCTCAAATGAAATGACTTATATGCAAACAAATGTGTAGGTCTCTGTCTAATAACCCTACAGTGAAAAATGAAGATCCTAAAAGTACAGAAGCAGAATGAATGTGGCTGTAGTGCTGCGGGTTAGGGTACAACAGTGTAAACGGTTGGAGCGATGCCGTACCTGGTACCTCACAATAAAAAGTAAGTATTTGATTCTCATGCAGTAGGAAACCATGGAAGACTTTGAGGAGAGAGCGACATAATCAAATTTATACTTTAAAAAATCATCCTGGCTTGGGCCGGCCGAGTGACGCGATGGTTAAGAACTGGCTTGGGACGCCAGAGGGTCCCGGTTCGGATCCCACACTGCCCCCTACAGCTAAGATGCTGAACAACAGCTCAACCTGGAGCTGGGCTGCCATGAGTCGCCGGCGACGGCGTAGGCTGCAGCCCCTGTGGCNACTTGTCTGTTCCCCTTTCCCCAATTCCCCAGCACTGTTCCCATCCCCCCAATTCCCCAATAAAAATCTTTAAAAAAAAAAAAAAGTAAAAAAATACCTGTATATTCATGTTCATAGCAGCATTAATCACACTAGCCAAAAGGTGGGAAAAACCCAAATGTCCATCCACTGAATATATAAAAAGAATGTGGTATATCCATACAATGGAATATTATTCCGCCATAAAAAGGAACAAAGTATTGATGCATGCTACAACATAACCTTGAAAAGATTATGTACATTAAAAAAGCCATACACAAAAGGGCACATATCATATGATTCCATTTAAATGAACTATCCAGAATAGGGAAATCCATAGAGTCAGAAAGCTAGTTACTGGTTGCCAGGGGCTGGAGGGAGGAGGAAATGAAGACTGCCTGTTTAATGGGTACAGGGTTTCCTTCTGTGATGATGGAAAAGTTTTGGAACCAAATAGTGGTAATGTTTGCACAGCATTATGAATGTACTAAAATGTCACTAATGACAAATTTTATGTTATATGTATTTTACCACAATAAAAATATAAAGACATAAATAGAATGTGCCTTTAAAAAAAAGTCTACCATCTAACAAAAGCTCTTCTTCAATACCATAATTTTATCCAGCTGTCCTCCTCCTAAATTCAATCCCTCACCAAGCTGACTGATTCAAGTTCTGATAATTTTCAATCTGCCACTGATTGCTATAATCTACTTCGAGCTTCCATCCTTCTTCACTGGATAATTACTAAGGCTGTTAACTGTTCTCCCTTTTTCTAGCTTTGTTTTCCTCCAACTGATTCTTATTGCATGTATTTTCTCAGATACAGACTTCAATGTATTTGCTCTTTAAAAATCTATTCAATGGGCTGGCCAAGTGGCGCGTTGGTTAGGAGTTGGCTTGGGACGCCAGCTCTGGGCAGCACAGCCCCACTTCAGATCCCACATGAGGGCCAGTGACGCTGCGCCCTCTACAGCTAAGATGGCGAACAACAGCTCGACCTAGAGCTGGGCTGCCGTGAGTCGCCGGCGATGGCGTAGGCTGCAGTGGGGCTAGCCGACAGCTAGCATGCACTTTCATGAGCTGCCATGAGCCGCCGTTTAATGGCCAGCGAGCAACTGCCTCNAGCAACGTCCTCCACAACTAGACTGAAGAACAAAACGACAGCAACTTGTCTGTTCCCCTTCCCCCAATTCCCCAGCACTGTTCCCATCCCCCCAACTCCCCAATAAAATTCTTTAAAAAAAAAAAAATCATCCTGGCTTTAGAGTGGAGAACAGACTGTAGAGAGGCAAGAATGAAATAGGGTCATCAACTAGACTACTCTAGTAATCCAAGCAAGAGCTAAAGATGGCTTGGTATGGGGAGGGTGGCAATAGATGGAGAAAGCTTTATTTTGGAGGTTTAACTAATAGGTTTTGCTAATGTTATCAAAAGAAGAAAAGGACTATAGGATGATTTGTAGGTTTGGGGCTTGAGCAGTAAGTAGGGTGGATGGTAGGGTCACTTACTGAGATGGTGAAGACAGATGATGTAAGTATAGATGTAGGTATAAATGCAGGTAAGCTTGTGGAGAAACAACTAGTAGGGCAATAACATAGGTTCCTAGGCGGTGTTGTGTCCATTTGATACCTGTGATCATGAAATTTAAAGTAACACTAGTTTCACTGCCTGATTTCTTTTCCCCAGCGATGTCTTGATTGTTCTAATGCAGACTCAGAGGACAAACTGAGTTAATTAAGGGATGGGGTGGGAGATGAGAGGGTCTGCTAAGAAATAAAATAGAAGTAGGGCTCTTTGGCCCTCACACTCTCAGGCCCTCGCTCTCAACCCCTTTCTCTCCTGCGCGCGCTCTCTCTCTCTCTCTCTCTCTCTCTCTCTCTCTCCCCACCACCTCAGCTAAACCTGTTCTCTTCCCTGAGAAAGTATCACTAATAAACCCTGCTTGCATATTAAAAAAAAAAAAAAAAAGGAAGTAGGCAAGGGAGTTGATTATAATAATGCATAGACTCTAAATTAACTTCACAAGTAAAGTGAGAGAATTAATAGATAACAGAAAGTAAAATTTAACATAAATTAGTATTTATCTATAAATTATCCATTTACAGTAAAAAAGATATTCATCTAGTAACCACCTAATAGTTGGTTGTTCAAACCAATATCCTAGAAACTATACAATGGAATATAAACTGCTTATTAATTTTGAGGTAATTTTTCCTTTACTTGAAACAATTGTAAAATATTATAAAATTAAACTCTCCTATAGTAATAATGCCAAGCCAAATGAGAAAAAAAGTCCTTACCTCATGATTATAATCCAGGATTCCTTTTAAAATTTTCTTTAAATTGCTTATCTATTTAAAGAGAGAGAATACAACTGGGTAAAAGGCAGACTCAGATGAAAATATAGTTTAACATAAAACATTTCTAAATCAACTAATCATTCTAGTTAATCATAAATATAAAAAATTAAATGCAACAGAATATTTGAATTATCTTCATCAAAAAGATGACTAAATTTATGTGATCTAAGATATTTATATAACAAATTAAGTTTCCAATTATGTTAAATTTTAAATGCTATGACCACTGACAAAAATTCGAGGGTAAATGGATAAGACTTAATAGTAAGATTAAATTATTCAGTTTTTCTGAAGGTAAAGAAAAAAAATGTGCCATCCTCAATGAAGAATTGAGTTCAGTGCTGTTTTCCCCAGAAAAGTGGAGGTGCATCTTACATAGAGCTTAAGTTATAAGGTTAAAAGCATTAAGCAAAAATTATAGTCAAAATTACCCTTGGAAATCTCTTAAAATAACCTACAAAGTATGTCTCCAAATTCCTCCAATGGCAGGAAAGACTGTTTCTTCAGCTGAGCACCAAAGTAAATATTCAGGAGCCCATGAAGTTAAAAAGAAAATCTATTATATCTCAAAATGTTAGAGAACACTCAGCATTGCAATATACTTGTACTAGAAGAAGAATCCTAGAAACATACAGGATGAGGGACCAACCTATAGATGTCTCCCAACACTCACTTAAGAGAATAGGCTCCCTGACTATTTGTCATCTGGGTGAAATGATAGGCAGAATCACCTGCACTATTTACTGCTAAGCCATTTTTTTTCCTCTACTTTTTTTTTTTTACCCAAACCAATGGTTGCATTTGTGTTAAGTTAAATGTGTATATAACATGATTCTGTTGATCACCTATTCTAGCCAATGTTAGTACCTGAAAATGTCCTAGGACAGAAGACAGTAGAAGTGGCTATCAAATAAAAAAGGCTGAATCATAGCAGTGTGATCCAATGATTAATCAGACATATTTATTTTTAAGAAAGAAAAGAAACCGAAAACTTTATTTAAAAAGAAAATCTCATAAATAAACTAACATGTTTAGACTTCTAGGAAAATTTGAAGACATGGACAATATACTTTATTTCCTTTATTCTAGTATGTTCATTTTTTCATATTTTAACATTTTAAACTAGAATGACTTAAAAATCAATGTGTTCATTTAAAATGGTAGTTTATTTCCCAATATTTTCTTATTTTTAATAACACTAACAACTAAGATTAAATATGCCATGCGCTATCCTAAGTACATTGCATATATACATTAACTCATTTATTTCCATGAGGTGGATCCTATTACAATCCTTGTTTCACAAAGGGGAATCTGAGGCACAGAACGGCTAAGAGACTTTCCCACAGATAGTAAATGGTAGAGTGGATGTGGACACAGACACTCTGGCTTTGGAGTCCATGCCCCCAGTCACTATGTTTTACTAATTTACATTGTATCTTGGTGAGCAATTTCAGGTTACCTCCAATCCTTAATTCCAGATTATTTCACTAAAGACTACTTAAGTTTCTAAAGCTCACTGGACACATCTGACCAAAAATTAACACATACCATATATACACACAAGTAAAGATTACTTTACGGATGGAAAAATAAAAAGAAAATACCTTTAGCCTCCAATTATCTCCCACTTCAGTTTTGATTCTGTTTAGCCAATTTTCATCAAAATATGCAGGATCTCTACAAATAAGAAAAAGCTAGCATATTAAGATCAGGTAGCTATCAAGCTAAAAAATCAAAACAAAGAAAATTGAAACCTATTCCGTAACATCACTTAACTGCAACATAAAAATATACTTGCCACATTTTAGCCACTAAATAACTCAGTACATGGGACTGGATGCAATTATAGATTTCTTGAAAATCAACTTGACTGTTATCAGCTCATTAAAAAACATTTATACTTTATCAAAAAACAAACTAAAAGGTGAAAAACAGTAACAGCTAATATATTTTAAAAACAAATTACAGATAAATATACTAACTGGAATTAACATAACTTGTAGATACCACAGTAATATCAAAAAAGTCCAAATCAACAACACAATTTTAAATAGACAAAAGAAATATTTTATGAAAGTTAATATAAACTTTTCAGTTAATATTTCAATGATCACCATCACTTAGTACTTCAAATATTGTTTCTAAAATTTTAATTTCTTTAAATAACATAAAACTGAAAAGCTGTTTTCTCAGCTATAATACTAGGCATTAGACAAAGCTGGGCACCATTTCTGTTTGCAAAAGGCTTAAAAACTAAGATAACATTGGTGTGGACAAATTGAAATAAGGATAGAACCTGAATATATTTGTGGTTATTTTTCTTAGGAAAACCTCCCAAACTTCCATATACACTAGAAAGGAAAAAAAACTTTTTATCCCAAAATGATCCTCATTTTAAAGGTTTTGAAACTGGTGCTCTAAGAAATTATCTGTTTTCTACCATCAATTGAATACCTATGTCTCTCTGTTCTCATTCACTGCGGTACTGCCCAATATCTCATGTCTGATACAATGCAGGTTCTCCATATATATATATATATATATATATATATATATATATAGACTGAAATACATTTGGAAAGTGACAGCACATTAATTTAATAAGATTCTAATCTACTACTTGGGCAGAACATAGCAAGAATAGTAGGTCTACAGCCTTCTTATAGTTGGTGTGACTTTTCCTAGTAATAAACCTTGACTCACTATGCAGGTATCTAGCCATAACTATGTTTTGATAAGTAGTTACAATTTCAGCAATGTTTTCTAGGTAGCTCTTAATTGATGCTTTCAGGTTAGTATCAAACAATATAAAAGTAATTTTCTCCAAAATCTCAATAGATTGTAGTTCTACACAGGTATGTAAATAACAAACTGCTAATCTTACTGGGAGTGTTCTTCATGAGTAAGAAGCTAAAGATAGCTTACTATGTCCTGACTACTGCTGGGGGGGGGGGGGGGGAATCCAGGAAACTTACAAAACCATTTCCTTAGATTTTTTTCCAGTAACGTCATATTTGGCTGTAACTTATGTACCAGTCATAGCTTAAGCTAAAAGAAAAGCCCATTCACTTAATATCCTTAATATAATTCCAGAAATATACTGTTTGCCTACAGTCAGTTGCCTTCACAGAAACCAAAAAGTTAAATTTTATTTCTACTGCTAAAATTATTTAAACGCTGCAGTATTCTTATTGACTTCCCTCAAATTATGATGAGGTCCAAACACTGTATTTTGATTTCATTTCTTAGTATGATATTTTTACTAATAAACCTTCATATTTTTATACATATGTTGTTTCTTAGGTCTATTTTCTAATGATCTTTTAATTATCTAAAAAAATATTTTGGTTCCCTGCCATTAAATGTTTAATGGAAAGTAACTATATTCAAGGGGAACGAAAGCATATGTCCACACAAAGATTTGTACGCTGATGTTCATAGCAGCTTTATCTGTAATAGCCCAAAAGTAAAATAACCCAGATGTTCATCAGTAGATATGAATAGATGAACAGGTCATGCAATAGCCATACAACGGAATATGTATGACCTATATGGGCAACAACATGAACGAGTATCAGAATAATTGTGCTGCATGAAAGAAGCCACACCCTTTCCCTCAAAAAGGAAAACATACTGTGTGAGTCCACTTATATAAATTTCTAGAAAACACAAATTAATCTATAGTGACAGAAAGCACATCAGTTGCCTGAGGATGAGAAAGGGGTGGCAGAAAGGAGGGACTGGAGAAACTTTGTGAAGTAACTGATATGTTCATTATCCTGACTGTGGTGATAAATCTCATGGGCATCACAGATAAAAATTTATCAAATTCTATGCTTTAAAAATGTGCAATTTATTGTATGTCAATTTTATCTCAATAAAGCTGTGGGGGAAAAAAGGAGGGTGGGAAGCGCTAAAAAGAAATGAGCTATCTAGCCACAAAAAGACATGAAAGAACCTTAAATGCAATATTGCTAAGCGATAGATGCTGTCAAGGAGAAAACTCTGGGGTGTCCTAAATTAAATTAAAGTAGGCTGGATGGTGGGAGGAAGAGACAAAAAGGGGTTAATCAGTTAACAACTGTGGTGCAAAACCAGTAATAGACGGCTCACACTCGCTAGTGTAGGTTGGAATTACTAAATTAACTTCCAGGTGGCTATTTCTAAAAAGAGAGAATAGCCAGGGTGGAACCCTGAACCCCAGGACCCCAGGAGCCTCCACTTCTTGTTTACACATAAGCTTTACACCTATCCCAGAAAACATCTGCTTCACCTTCTCTCATCCCCTGTCTATAACTAAGGTAAACTCTTTCTGAGTGGCTTACACCATTCTCTTCCCTACTTGTATAAAAATACTTTCAAAATTCTGGGACTAAAGCCTTGTCCCTTCTACCTAGTCACGCTGCTGGTGGTTTAGACTCCATGCCCCAAGACCAGTCTCCTTTTTTTTGCTAGCAATGGTCTAATAAACCCTTTATTTTAAAAAGACTTTCAGCTGTGGAAGTTAAAATGTTTGTTTAACAAAGCCAATCTGAAAAAGGCTACACATGCTGTATGATTCCAACTACATAACATTCTGCAAAAGGCAAAGCTTTGCAAACAGTAAAAAGATAGCTGATTGCCAGGGAGGGATGCCTAGGAAGGGAGGGATGACCAGGCAGAGCAATGGGATTTTTAGGGTGGTAAAACTATTCTGCATAATATTATAATGGTGATACACATCATTATATTGTATATTTGTCAAAACCTATGAAATGTCACAGAGTTAACTTTAAGTTCGGGACTTTGGGTGATAATGATGTTTTAATGTAGCAAATGTAGCAAATGTGGCGTGGGATGCTGATAGTGAGACCGCTGTGTGTGTGGTGAGGCAGGGACTATATATATGGGAACTGCCATACTTTTTGCTCAACTTTTAAAACTTTTATTGTAGTAAAATATACATAACAAAATTTATCATTTAAACCATTTTTAAGTGTACAACTCAGTGGCTTTAAGTATATTCATTCACATTGTTGTGAAACCATCACCACTACCACCTCCAAAACTTTTTCATCATTCCATACTGAAATTCTTTTCTACCCAATTTTGCTGTGAAACTAAAACTGCTCTAAAAAACAAAGTTTACTAATTAAAAAAAAAAAAGTGGGAGGACATAAAAAAAAGAGAAAAAGACAACAGCAACAAAATTTAGAAAGGTGGAAAGCAGATGAACATAAAATGACTAAAAAGACTAGAGAGAAAAATAAATTATACTAACAATAAGCTTACTTAGATCCAGTCTTATGTGATACAATGTCTACTAAAACTATAAAAAGGTACACTTTTTCACTTGTCAACTCAGACAAAATGAAAAAATTTGCTATTTCCAGTAAAACTCTCTTCTGGCACCCATACCCTACTGGCTTTCCTCATACCTCTCTAGTCCTTCTGCTAGTTGATGTTTTAACCAACAATGCTGAAGTTCTTCAAGGCTCAGGCACTTTTTTCATCTTACCCTACACTCTTCCTTAAGTGATTTAATCCACACTTAGGGCTTCAATTAAGAAATACCCAAACTAATATTTCCAGTTTGGACTCCTCTTCTGAACTCCAGACCTGTGTCAACTGCTAACTTGGCATGTTCTGTTATGTCTTAACACCACTCAAATTCAATGTCTCCCAAACTCAACTCATAATACACCCGGCACTTCTCCATAGCAGATCACCCTTCAGTGTCCCCACATCGGTGGTTTGCATCCTCTTCTGTGTATTTGCTTTAGAAACTTAAAAGTCAATTTCGATACCTCCCTTTTACTAACTACCCATGTCAATCATCCAAATTTGATTTTCTATACCATTTTGAGTCCATCCACCTAACCTTCATCAACTTTGCCACCTCCTAGCCCAAAGTACCATTTTTTCCCTCCTGAGTTACTACAAATTTCTTTCCAATTGATCATCCCTCATCATTAATTTTTCCAGTTCATTTTATACCTGAAGGCAGAATATTTTCTAAATTTAAATCTAACTGTGTTAATGCCCTCTCCTCCCCTCTGAAAACTTCTCAATTGCTTTTCATAGCCGTTGGGATGAAGACACAAAGCCCTACATGGTCTGGCTCCATCTACCTTTCGATCCGCATTTTGTACCATGGTCCTCCTCTCTGCTTTAGCCACTCAAACCATCTTTCTTTCTATGGTAGTGCTCACCATATTCCATCAGCCTATATGGCCTATGCATATGCTGTTCTCTCTGCTGAGAAATCTGTTCCCGATCATCTTGCAGATTTATTCTAACTTGATTTACTCAGGTAAAATGTTCATGACTTCCTTGACTAAGTTAAATATGCTACTGACAAACTTTCATAACACTGTGTACTTCTCCTCTGCAGAACTTGTTACAGTAGCGATTTTGTTTTGTAGTTATTTAAAATTTGTTTTTCCCCAGGATATAAACTCTCTGAAGGTAAATTACCCTGTGGGTTGTGGCTTACCCTTGAAACACTAGTACTAAAAACAAAGTAGCCATTCAATAAATATCAAATGCAAATGAGGAATTGAACTTCCCTGAAGTTGTATATATTACACAATTATTTAAAATAGATGACATACAACAATATGAGTGAATCCTAGAGACATTATGTTGAGTGAAAGAAGTCAGACCCAAAAAGAGTACATACTGTATGATTCCATTTATAAGATGTTCAAGAACAGGAAAAACTAATTAATGTTGTAGAAGTAAAATCATCTTTGAAGCAAGGGGTACTGAATAGAAAGGGGCATGGAAGGAACCATCTCGGGTTCCATCCTCAGGCTGGAAATGTCATATATTTCAATGGGTGGTGGTTATATGGATGTGTGTATACACACATATATACATACATACACACACACATAAATTCATCACTTTTTTTCATATGCTTGTCTGTATGTGTTATATACCTCAACAAAAGGAAGGAAGTCATTTTGGGGGGGGAAAAGGTAAAAATCTAAGTACTGATGAAAAATATGCCCACAAGAGTTTGGTAAGTTAAAATAACCATTCTGCAGAACATAATGTATGCTATGATCTTGATTTGGTAAAAATAATACAGTCTTTCTTCTGGTTTCTGCTAGTGAGAGAAATTCTACCCCAACTAATTTAAGCAAAAAATTCATTTACTGACACATACCTTGAAAGCTCTCTTAGCTAGGCCCATGTACCCACAAATAACTTTTACTAAGAACTTCAGTGAAACTCTCTAGGCCATTCAAAGGCTAAACATTATTAAGGAACCACTCAGACGTGACCATGAAAATCACAAGATCACTCTGGTCAGGTTTCAAATGTACCTTCTCGAGCTCCATCAAAAAGTCTGTGTGCCTATACATATATTTGGAGAGATGTATCATATAAGTTACAGAAGAAAGCGATAACAAACTATACTTTTCAAGCATGAGTCCCCAGTTCTAAAGGCACACAAGCGGATTCTCTGAAATGCAGGCTTTTGAGCTGCTTCTCAGATGGGCAATTGTATACAGCTTACTGCAAGGTGAGCAACAGCAAGAATTCATTTAATGAGAACTGCAGGAAATCCTAGCTAGTCATATGTAAATCTTTAAGTATCATCAGACTGACAAGTGTTCAGGGCTTTAAAAGACAAAAGTATCCCCCAAATCATGTCAAAGCTAATCCTTTATTTGAAAAATTTCTAGGTCAAAAGTTGAAGACAGCCATACTATTATATTTTCAAAGTACTTAGAAGGAAAGAATCAGGTATGTTTTATGTATCCCAAACAAATATCTCATTCCCTTCATCCTTTAGTGAATATTAGCAACCATGATGCAGACTGAACCAAGAGAAATTGCTGACATGTGACCATTTTTTATCTATAAAAAAGGTAATTTTTCATATGGTTCACCAAATACTGGACAGTGCCCTAAGTGCTAGGACATGACAATGAACAAAACAAATATATTGCCTCTATGTGGAGCTTACATTGTGTGTGTGTGGGTGTGTGGAGGGGTGTGCAGCAGATAACAAATATATGGTATATCAGATGGTGTTAACATACTTTGGAGAATAACACAAACGGTTAAAAAAGATACAGAGCACAGGGGTGTGACTGGTGCTTATTTTATATGGGTAGTTGGGGAAGGCCTCACTGTTACATTTCAGCATTACTACTAGGAATAAGCCTCTTAGATTCTTCTACAGTGGCAAAATCTGGTCACTAACATGAAAATTTCTGCCAAGCTTAAGCTGAAAAACACAAGAAGAAACAATTCTGTTAAAACCACTGGAGGAGTATAACTACTCTAGCCCTGATTAAACTTGCAGCCCAGTTCATCTGCACCTGAACAAGTACATGCCACCAAAATCAACGCTGCAGCTTACAGTTCTTATTTTATATGCAACATGAGTTTCCTGTAAGCACTTTATGTTTTGTCCATGTTTTCCACCTAGTAAATAATGTATAGGAACATATAAAAAGATAAAACAATTTATTCTTACATTTTTTGAAGAACCTGGGCCATCACAACCCCATTCGTTAAATCTTCCACGGTCTGGCATGGCGCATCTACATTAAATGTCTGTATCTGAGAGGAAAAAAGGTTCCATGGTTATTAACTATATAGAAAATTTCTTAGGCTTCTTTTTGGTCAGTACCTCATCTTGGGAGTTGTAGTAAATTTTAAAAAGCAGAAGAGTTGGAAATCTTTTCCCTGATGGGAAATTTCCTGCAGGTTATTACTGTAATTTTTTCCCTTTGGCAAAACAGAAATTGTGGAGGACACTGGGTAACGTCCCAGCATCCACTCTCCTCACAGACGATGAGTCTAAGGAGGTCTTGGTACCTTCATCCCCGCTCCCAGTGATGCCTCAAGGGTGCACAGGGCAAAGACAGTCTGGACCAAAGAGATGCAAGGGGATGCTCATTTGAACTTCTGGGAAGAAAGAGCCAATCTCCTCTCCACGTGAATAAGTATGCTGCTTCAATTGCCACTAGCAGTCCTCTTATGACTTAAGGGCATCCATCTTAAGATGAGGTCAAATGCAGCGGAATGCAGAAAAGAGGAATAGAAAAACTAAGTCCTTGAGGCCAAAACCGAGCCACTGAATTAGAAAACCTTGAAGCTTCCTGTTATGTGAGATAACTCTTTTGTTTAAGCCTGGCCCCGTTGAGATTTCTTTTACAGAGAGCCAAATTATCTATACAGATGTAGAAGTCACATCACGGTTAGGTTAGATACTTGATTCATTTTGATTTTAAATGTATCCTGAATTAGAACTAACTTTGTACTGGGTCAACATGATGTGGCCGAGAAATAATAGAAATTATTTCTGTAAGATAACACAGTTGAGCCAGCAATGATTTTACCCAGCAGTGCAACCAGGACTTAGAAAGAAAGAAATAACTGAGGTAAGACAGATGCAGGCCCTGATCCCACAGCTTATAAGTTAGTAAAATGAAAGAGTATTATAGGAAATGTAAACAGCAAGCACAATGATTAGAAGTGAGAGTGGGATGCAAATCTAGGAATGAAAAGCTGCTTGGTATGGATTTGGTGGGGGTGGGAATTGGAGGAAGAGATGGAACAGGGAAAAGAGTAACATGGTGGAAGATAGGGTTAAAGAGGAAGCACTACTGTGCAAACCTCAGAACCCATGTTAGGACTAAGAGTAGTGTGGAGTAAGCAGGAGAGTGAGGCCATGAGATCTGCATTATATAAAGGTCATGCTGGCTGCAGTATAAAGAAAGGAATGGTGGGAAAGAGGCAGGGATACATACTTATTTTAGTAGGTTTATGTATTAACACAAATGAGGTCAAGCTAGGTAGTGACAATGAAAAAAATATTGGAACTAATGCTCAGGTGACCATCTGTCTTCACACACATTTTCATTGATTGGGTTATGTATCTACAGGACATTTCAGGATAGCAGAACAATAAAATTTAAAGATAATGGCACCTAACTACATTAAGGCATGAAATTCAACCTAAAGGGTCATAACCTCTCTCTCTCTTTTTTTTTATAGCTGAGCCACCCTGCCACCTGTTGGCAGCTCAGCAGCAGCTCAGCAGCAGCTCAGCTCGGGCCAGGAATTGAACCAGCGACCCTGCTGCTCAGAGCTCGCACTCCTGAGCAAGCTCTTAATCAACGGAGCCACTCGGCTGGCCCCATAACCTCTCTTTTAATTTCAACAAGCTCTGTTAATACCACCAAACCTCCACATAGCCATCCTCCACAAAAGCATGAGAAGAGTAAAGCATGAGATCACCTGGAATTAGTATTTGTTGAGCAGTGGTTCTTAACCAGGGGCAATTTTGCTCCCTACGAGACATTTTTGGTTGTTACAAGTGGGCGGGTCTCCTGGCATCTAGTAGGTAGAAGTCAGGGATGCTACTATGTTTTGGTTTTTTAAAATTTTTTTTATTGGGGAATTAGGGGAGGGGAACAGTGCTGGGGAATCAGGGGAACGGGAACAGACAAGTTGCTGTTCTTTTGTTCTTTAGTCTAGTTGTGGAGGACGTTTCTTCACTGGCCCATGTTGGTATCATCATTGCGCTCTTCCCAGGTGAGGCAGATCGATTGCTGGCCACTGGACAGCCACTCACTGCAGCTCTTGGCAGCTCATGCTGGCTGCCGGCCGCTCACACTGGCTGCTGGCTACACACAGTAGCTTATGGCAGCCCACTGCAGCAGGGGCTGCAGCCTACGCTGTTGCCGGCGACTCATAGCAGCCCAGCTCCAGGTCAAGCTGCTGCTCACCATCTTAGCTGTAGAGGGCAGTGTCACTGGCCCTCGTGGGGGATCCGAACTGGGGCCCTGCTGCTCAGAGCTGGTGTCCCAAGCCAGCTCTTAAACGTGCCACTCGGCCAGCCCAGGGACGCTACTATTAAATGTTCTACAATGCACAAGGCAGGGCCCACAACAAAGAATTATCCAGCCCAAAATATCAATAATGCTAAGGTTAACAATTAACAAACCCTGCTGTAGAGTGGTTGTTCTCCAAGTGTGGTCCCCAAGCCACTAACAACAGCATCACCACCTGCAAACTTATTGGAAATGCGGAATCTCAGACCCCAATCCAGATCTACTGAATTATAAACTCTGGATATATGGGGCCTAGCATTCAGGGTCTCAATGAGCCTTCCAATGATGGTGATCAATACTAATGCGTAAGAGCCACTTCTTAGTATTAAACTGAATGCAATCGAAACACAGAGGTGAAGTTACTTGTCCAAAGTCACCCACAGTTACTATGAAACAAAAATCAGGATTTAAACCCAGGTGGTCTGATTTCAGAACTCTTAACTACCATATTACAGTGGCCCTTAATTTAAAAAGAAAATTAAAGCTTTAAAAAAATATGTGCGTTAACTTTAGTACATCTGATTTCCTTATTCCTTCACTAGTGGACAAAAATTGTTGGTAGAATGGAGTTAGGCAGAGCAGAGAGAATAAAATGGGGAAAATACCATCATAAAAATTATACCCTCTCTAATTTTACACACAAGTGTGCATTTATAAGGATATGTTAATGTTTCTGGGTTTCCCAGAAGAAATGCACTGAGCCTATGCGATGATTCTTTTTCCACTTAGCTTCCTGCCATTAACTGGTAGCATTTCTGATTCTTTCTGGGTTTTGGTCTCTAAAACCTATGAAAGAGCAATTTTTTATGTACAGCTCAAGAAATAGGCTTGACAGGTATAATAGGCAGGGCAGATTTTTCTAACAGGTAAGAATACATTTTGACTCAGAGGGTGGGGAGAGGAGGTAGAGTGGAAATTTTCAAGCATGTCCTGCTGAACTTGCTTGCTGCATAAACTTTGATTTGGAATTTCAGCTTAAGATGTTTTCCATTGGTAGGATGATACTTTGTCTTTTCATGAGCATTCCTCTTCCAACAAAAATTTGAAACATTTAGTTCTTGGGCTAGTAAACTCTCTGATACAACAGCAATTTATCCAGTACTTGGGGCAAAGAGATGGTTTTACAGAAATGAATTCTAACAGTCACCTTTTAAGTGTCTGAGCTTCTATTATTTTTACCATTTCTAGTGGAAGAATTTCTAAAATGTACTATATACCTCTTACCTCAAACTAAATGCTATTTAGAGAAAACTTTTGAGATTCAGGATCAAAATTAAGATCTGCAATAATTGAACATAGAGGCTCTTGAAGTATCTAAGGTTGTCAGTTCACAGACTGAAATCACCCAAACTGAACTTTGAGTTCTTGTGTCTTCTCTGTTACTGACAGCTGTCTGTATTTTGCTGAGCACTGCAGTTACCCTCTAACCTGTTGGTTGTAAAGGAGCCACACAACCAAGTTAGCTAGAAGTTGATGTAAGATAGAGAAGTTATTCTAAATGCGTGTCATTTCTTTGGAGTGTATTGTATACATTTCCCCCTTCCATTTGGTTTTGGAATTGTGTTTAGCATTAAACTGGCCTCCAGTTATGAGGGGAGCTATGAGACTGAATGTACATTTTCAGCTACCTCAATCATTTTCCACATAAACATTTACTCTGCTTTTTATAATGACAACTAAAAGAATAAACCCAGCATTTAAACTCAACTTTATTTTGAAATATTTCAATATACAATGTTTTAAAATGTTTCTAAATCTTAGAATTATACATCTTTGTGTGGACCCTGCTCTCCAGTTTTGTTCCTGATAATCTGTTATCTTCTCCAGAAATTTTCCCAGATGAGCCCTCCAGTAGTAACATTTTAAAAAGCTTTTTCTACAAAACCATATTCCTTGACTTCTCTCTACAGCTGATAACCTGGATTACCTGTTTTGACATTTTACCAGATTCTAACTGGATGCTCTCATAGTGTGTATACTTCTGTTCAAACTTCCCTCTATGACTCTTCTTCAATGTTTTATTCGCATTTCTCACTCAGCTGCACTACCATCTTTTTGCAGGTGGCTTTCAAATACATCTCTTTGTTCCCCTGACTTGTCTTTCTCGACTTTAAACAATGTAGCCCTACTTCCTATTCAATTAGCTTCCTCATCTTTGCCCTCTTGCCTCTTTTTCTAGCATTGAGAGGGACTACTTTGTACAGACTCAAAAAAGCACATCTTAAGATCCTCAATCTTCTGTTTACAACCTCTGCCAAACCTATTCCTTCCCCAGTATCAAAGAATGTGGTAATTCTTTCTTTTATCTCTCTTCTCCCTAGTCAAACCTTGGCCACATTGTGAAGCTTATCAGTTTTTTCTCTCCTCTTAAAAACAGCAGTGAAACTCATCTCCCCTCCTGAAGTTGGAACCCATTACAGTTGTAAGCTGCATATTAATATTGCGAACAATCTAAAATCCCAAGAATGGCCTAATACAAAAGTTAATATTATCAAGCTCTGCCATTGTACGTATTGTTTCAGAAGACATAATTTGATTAGTGACAAGCCAAATTATGAAAATCTCAGGCTGTTTTCATTGCATTTGTTACAACCAACCTAAGGCAATGCACCATCCAAAAGTGCCCCCACACAGGAGAGTAACATCTACACTCCAGGGACCTGAACTTATAACCCAAGACACCACTAAAAGAATTTGACATTTGTGTTTTACCTTTCACATCAATACAAGTGCAGTAATCACCTCCATAAATACACTACTTACTGTTTTGGTCTAGAAATAGTATTTAACATTTTAGCAATTAGTAAAACTAGGTTTATCCCGTAGCTCTGAAGGCCTACCTACACACACACACACACACACACACACACACACACACACACACACACACACACACACACACACACACACACACACACACACCAGGAACTGACACCACAGTTTGAGAAACACACAAGCATGGGTTTTAGGTCCAGCTCTTGAAGAGGCTACAAAAGGCACGATTGCTGGCATTAGAATCGAACACATACTTACTTTAAAACGTGAGAATTTTAATAAGGGTTTACTAATTTAAAATTAGAATCCCCACAATGTTGCCCCTGAAATGTCGAGTTCCATTACTGATTCCCAAATACTTTCCAGATTTGTTTTTATCTCTACTACCTTTAACAACCACACCGCTTGCTTCCTAATTGCTAAAGTACATCTCGCATTTTAAATACTGTATCTGGATGCGTTTCCGTATTTTTCCCATCCTCCCTTAAAAGTACTTCTCCTTTTCCAGTGGGCCGGCTCGCCCCTAAAGTGGCTGCGCTCCATCCTCCTGAACGTTACAACAAAGGCGAGGAGCGTGGTAACCAGGGGTCCCGAGTGCCTCCATCGGCTGCCCCGGGCGCCGAGAGAAGCAACGCTTCGGTGTCCCTGGGAGCGCGAGAGTGAAGCGCCAGCGCCTCACCAGCGGCAAACAATCCTAATTACAGTGCCGCCTGCACCCCATCATTAGCCTCCACCCTGCCAACTCCTAAGCCCGGCAAGTCTCCCTCTGACCCTGGGCCGAACCTCCCGCGCCACGCCACTCCCTACCGACCCCCGCCCGGCCGCGGGTGTAGACGCGGCCCGCACCAGCGTCCCCGCGGCTCCGCCCGCCCCAGGGCCCGGATGTGACGGCACCGCTGCCCTCAGCGCTCGCCCCCCGCAAGGAGCATGGGGGGATCCCGGAAAAGCGGCCTGGGGGAGGGGGTCTTCCCCCGACCCGCCAGTCATCACATACCCAAGTGAGAAGGCTCTCGCACAGTTCCACCCGTTCCGCCGACTCCACGTTGAACATCTTCCCCTGCTGGGGCTTGGCAGCGCCTCCCCACCTCGCCAGAAACCGCTGCCGCTCAGGCCGGGGCCGCGTCGAAGGGTCCGGGCAGCCGATCTGGCCTCTGGCCCACCTTGTCCTCGGGCCCAGGCCGCCGGCTCTCGTTCCGCGCTGGCAGCGGCTCCCGCACCGTCACCCCCTGCACCCCTCCTTCTCCTTTCACTCGGGACGCGCGCCTCTCGCGCGCGCCCCCGACCACGCCCGCAGCCCCGCGTCCCCGCCCCCAGCCCTGACCACAGCCTCAGCCGACGGGCCACTGCGCGCAGTCGCGCTCCGGCCGGCCCGCCTCCCCGCTGCGCGCGCCCCGACGCCAGCCCCTGCGTGTCTCGGCGCGCGCGCGCCGGGCCCCGGCGGAGGGTCCTCCGCGCGCGTCCTCACGGAAGCGCGGCAGTGCGCGTGCGCCTGTGCCCGGACTCCAAAATAGAAAGGAGACTGCTAGTGGTTGCCTGGTAGGGTGGCGGGGGCAGCCCCCGGAAATAATCTCTATTCTCAGTCACCGGGAGTTGGCGAGGTATCCTCTGCGGTGGAGAGGTACGCGCCCCCTTCCCACCCATCCGAGCAGCAGGGCCGCGGCCAGCCACGCCCACCCGGCTCTGGGCCCACAGAGCTGCGGGCAGGTCTCGGCGTGGGCAGCATGACCCAGGGGTCGCCTCAGGGCTGCGGAGCCTCCTCAGGGCGGGGGAGTCTCTGCCGCGGACCCCAGGGCTTCGCCTTCCTTCAGGAAGCCGGGGGCTAAGCCCCAGAGTCGCCCGGTCCGGTTTGGAATCCCCCGGAGACGGTGGAAGGGCCGAAGTGGCGGGCGTCTCGGAGGTTCTAGGTGGACTTGCCAGCGGTGAGGAGAGCCGCCGATCCTTCTTGGGACGCGTGGAGCCTCG